GTAGAAAGAGGGGTAGGGGAGAGGGACGCGGAGGGGAGAGGGGGCAGGGAGCTGAAAAGAAGAGAGAAAGCTGTCAGACAAGTGGGTGATGAGGAAGCAGGCGCCTAGCCAAGGAGTTGAGGGGAAGAGTTTCCAGAAGGCAGGATCAAAACTCCTTGACAGCACAGAAGGGACAAAGGAAACAAAGATGGCGCCTTTAGTGCTGCCCCACCGTGGATTCTTTAAGGAGGAAGCTTTTTAGCAAAGCAGTGGGGCTGAATTCAGTGCCTAATGGGTAGGGAGTGAGTTGGCACCAAGAAGCTGGACCTAGTGAACCCACACTATTTCTAAAAGCAGTTCTTTGAAACAAAGTTCAAATACACGATTGAGGAGTGTGGTCTCTTCATGAATCTACTCCTTTCAGTTTGGTTTCAGGGTTTTTTCTTTGTCTTTAACAATGTGAGTGGTGTTTTCCTGCATCCCATTTACTATTCTTTCCTTCTCATGAAAATAATGTATTTATAGCCCCTTCAATTCCTTAGCTGCAGGCAGATCAGTATTGAGCGAGTTCCATCAAAGACAGCAGTAATTTAATTGTGTTCCCAGTCAGCTCACACAGCACCAGCAAAGAAGAAGAAGGTCCTCATTCATTTCAAGCTCTTAGGTTAAGCCCCACGTCCTAGGTGCTTAATCCCACACCAGCACGGTGATGACACAGGACAGACAGCAGGGCTCCATCTGACCTCGTGGCGCATGGCACGCTCAGCTGCAGCCGACCTTGATGCTGGTCATTTTTAGAAAACTAGCTGACCTTTATAAATCCCTTCCCACCCCACACCAGTTGTAACATGGGCTCCTTTCCCCAAGGAGAGCTCCTTCAGCCCTGGAGCGAGAGCTGCTCTGAGGACAAAGCAGAGAGGTCTTACCTGTTTTCTTCTCAGTTCCGTGACTTCTCTGTCTTTCAAGAGGTGGTTAGCCTTTTATCTCACCCACCCAAAGTCATGGAGCTCTCCTGACTTCTTTTAGAGAGCTGACAGTCAGCAGTAAAGCAATCTCTGTTGTAGACTTTGAGTAAAATGAAATTGAAAGCATTGAGTACAAAGCAATGACTCACCAACCATAAAAGGAATTTTTATAAGCTATGCTCATAGGAGGGTACATGGATTTGGCAGAATTTCTCAACTAGAACTTTCACATTATTATTTTTTTTAAGAGATCTTAGAAACCATTTGCTGTAAAAGAGTGGCTATTAGATATTTAAATATAATGTAATGTATTTCAGGATTGGGGGTCAGTTTGAGAAAGCCAGAAGGAGGAAGCATATTAAATTTTAGGTTTAATTTCCTTAAATAATGGACACACCTACAGTGAACTTGGCTCCTCATTGACGCATATGGTGAGGAAAAGGACATGTCTTGTACATTCATGAACACACAGT